GAAGGAAGAAAACAGAAAATAAAAATCAAATTAGAAACCCTGCTGCCAACTTTGGCCCTCATCCATAGCAAACTGGAAAGATCTGAATGGGTCATCAATACTGTTCCAGAAACTCTCAAAAGGGGCACATTTTCTCTAAAATGTTCCTTATTTTATCATGTATAGAACAAAATGCAGTTTATCCTATATGTTGTTTCACTTGAGTTTCCTATATCAAACTCAAGTCATTGCATTTGATAGACCAAAATCATTTGACATATTTAAGTTGATTTAGTATTTTGAATTTCTCCAGTTAAGGTAATTATTAGTGCTGGTGAAATTAATAGCTATTCAGCTTTTTGAAAATCACATAAATAAAATACATTCAATGAAAGAAAGTAGGAGTATAAACATACTAATTGTTTTATATTTCTTCCTAGCTGTTCAGTGTATATGTTAACACATGACATATTTTTGCAATTTCCATGAAAGAATGCACATCTGATCAATAAACACAAAAATGCAAATGTAAATAAAACCATTAAAACAGCAACATATGTAGTAAACACTCTGATTTCGAGCTATTATCTTCATTTCTGTGAGGCTACATTCTGACTTCGTGATTATTTCATAATGGGGTACTAAGCATATTTTTCCTCATTAAGGTTTCAAATATGTGCAATTCAGTTCAAAACAGTAAGATGGCAAGTAACGCATTATCAGAAGCAGCAAAGTACTAAGTCACTGAAACAGACAAGCACCTTAGATAAAAGCAGACACTACTCTCTTTCACCACACCTTGGTAAAAACCTAGGACCTGGTGGTTGTCATTTGTCCGCATGGACAAAACAAACTTCAGCTCAGACCACTTGCCAAATAAAAACATATCTGTATACTCTGTTTCAAACTTTTAGATGACTGACAGACTTGTTGTAGCCTGCTTAATTATGGCTAAAATTTTACATTGTTCCTTCCCCAAAACATGAACTCAACAATTAGAAGAAATAAGGATGTAAAAATGCTAATATATGAATTGGAATTATCTGTTTTCTAATTAGGCCTATCCTGAAGCCAAAGGAAGCGCGATCTACTCTGTTTGGTCACAACTTCCATCCCTGCAGGGAGTTGATGAAGAATCCAGAGACTTGGCTCTTTATAACAAGATTCGCTGCCTGCGCAGGGATTCCCACAAGGTTGACAATTATCTCAAGCTCCTGAGATGCAGACTTGTCCATAACAACAACTGCTAAGCCCACATTCATTCCATTTACTTCTGAGATGGTCCTTAAAAGTCTGTTTCTTCAAAACTTCTGTTAGTATTATAGCTTTTAGTGCATGCTTGAGTGCAATGGGTCTCTTTAAAGAATAAAACTTTTTAAAAACATCAAAGTCTGAAAAAGCAATTTGTCAACATTTCATTTGTTAATTTAATAGAAAATATTACACTGACATCATCATGCTTTCAAATTTTGTCACAAATAACAGGTTCAAGGCTTATAAATAATACAAATGGCAAAGTAACTTAAAAGTGTAGAAAGTTAATATGGGCCAAGATTTTTAGAATTGAAGAAGGAAGTCACTATTAACAAGTCCATCTAGTCTTCCCAAAAGGTTGAAAGCTAGATCATTTCTATGAGACAAATTTCTAGTGTAGGATTGGATAAATCAAGCATAATGAAACTGGTTGCTTCTAGACAGTGCACTATCAGCTAAGCAATCTGAAAGTGTTTGGATACAACCATGTATTATCCCTAGCTATCTCTAAAAATTGGCTTTAGCAATTCTTCTCTGCTGTCATTTTACTCAATATGGTAAGGTGAAGAAGCAGGTTCAGACAGAATGATAGCAGATTACAGAAAATTAAGTAGTGAAATGTTTTCCGTACATATTGAGCTAATCAGCTTGCTCTCAGGAGGAAAAGAGTTGATACATGCTTTGAGGACAAACCACACTGTAGGAGACTTTCTTAAAATTTTCTAATTATTCCTACAGAATCTAAATCAAATGACAATTTTTCACTCTCTTGAAACTGGTCACCATGTATAAGTTTCTATGACATTTCTATCTCCTATATTGCTTATTAGTGGAGAAATTCATCTGGAAAAACAACAAATCTAACACTTTAAAAATTTGTACATACATATACACCAGACATAGGAGAAGACATGCCTGATATTTATAAATCAATTAAATAAATGGCTAGTGCATAGGCTCAGTTTCTTACACAGGAGATTTTGGAAAAGGAGGCACGTGATGCTCCTAATCTACATATGCTTCTATAACTGTTGCTGATTTCACAGCAGAACTAAATGCATAGACCATATTACTGAAGGTGCTGAAGAAAACTTTGCTGCAAAATTAAATGAAAAAAAATTGAGCTCATAATGATGTAAAGTTTCCCAAACCTTGGAACAGCTTCCATAGTACCAAAAGTCATTATGTAGAATAGTTCAGGCTAATTATCAACAACTGTTATGCTCAACAACATGGTAAGGCAATCCTGGAAAAGTTTATCTGTTAATGAAGCAGTGACACATAACAGTTATAAACTGCAATCAACTCTTAGCTGATTTGATTTGAGGCTCACCTCACATAAGAAAATCCAGAGGTTATGTAAGATGAATTGATAACCTGTCTTATTCATAAAAAACCTGGAGCCAGATATTGGGATGAAAACTGAGATCAGAGGAATAGGACAAGCCACAGCCAACCTCTCCTCACTGACACCTCAGCCTCCAGAGAGAGCCACTTCCTGCATTCTCAAGTTTAAATCCTTTCTGTCCCTGCCCTCTCACTTGCTCTCTCTGCCCAGCCTCATCACTTCCTCTTTCTGCCCAGCTCTGTCACTTCCTGTCTGTACAGACCTCCAGACCTTTATGGTCAACTAGTGTTGGAATTTAAAGGCATGTGCCACCATGTGTGGCTCTGTTTCCAGTGTGGCCTTGAACTCACAGAGATCCAGGTGAATCTCTGCCTCCCAAATGCTAGGATTAAAGGCATGTGCTACCATTGCCTGACTTCTATGTTTAATATAGTGGCTGACTTTTTCCTTGGATCTCCAGGTAAGGTTTATTTATTAGAGCACAAATAAAATATCACCACAAGGTTATATCTGTAGATAGCAAGAGAAACAAACAGAAAGAAATAAAAGTGCTTGAGGAGGTCATGGGCTCCATCAATAAGGATATGATCAGATTTTTGTTAAGTGGATGTGATGTGCCTGTCAATGTGCTTGCTAAACCTTTCTGTTCAGATCTGTGGGTTGCCAGAACTGTTACCTACTCCTTTGAGAGAAACAATTTCCAGTGTTGATGGTTAAAGAAAGAGATTTGTGTTTGATTAAAACGTCTAGGATCATTGACTGTTACTGAGATAGGGTGGTCCATGCTCATACAAGCATTGAAAGCATTTATCATCACTTGAATCACTCAAGAATAGTTGGAGAAAATATGACAGACATAAGGTTTTGAACTAAGGCAAGGTATGAGGGAGTAAGTCTATTCTCCTGCCAATCTGGAAATGAGTAATTATGAAACCAAGATGGTGTTGGAGATTGCAAAATGACCAGAAACTTCTAGATAACATGGGGGAAAAGCAAAGCAGCACATAGAGATAGGACTGTGTTAAAGGTAAATAAGGTGTCAATACTCCCTGAAGGGAGAGTGTCACTGATCTATAGACATTGATCCAATCTGTCCCCCAGCTCTGCTTGGCCTTGAGTACATCTGTTTGTATATATATATATACATATGGCAGAAAGTTGAATGAAAGCAGCAGTTGAGTTGGGGACCACATTGTGGTGTAAGTTCTAAGAGATGCAGCTTACTTCTACTCAACCATGCTCCTGTAAGTAGCCCTCCATCATGCTCCCCTAAACTTTATCATGTGTTATTTCTTGAAGACTTGCTTGGAGAACATATTTTCTATGGTGTGATCAGTGCTGTATATTCTAAGAACCAGAATGGTGTAAACTTGAGTATGCAGGAAGTGGCTCTCTCTGGAGGCTGAGGTGTCAGTGAGGAGAGGTTGGCTGTGGCTTGTCCTATTCCTCTGATCTCAGTTTTCATCCCAATATCTGGCTCCAGGTTTTTTATGAATAAGACAGTTTAGAACCTCATCTGGCGACAAGGCAACAGAGACTAGAGAATGTTTTAGATTGCCATCGCTCAATCAACTTTGAAATCAGTGGTTTTCATTTTATTGATAGACAGGTAAAAGGGGACAGTGCGACAGGTGTTTAAGGGGTACCTTCTAGTAACCATTTTCCTTTGCATAGTATCCTTCTAGAACAAGAAATAATGCAACTCAAATGACCAATTTGAATTACTGAGAAATTTTTCTTTGTAAAGAACACAAAATTCCGTGGTCTAACTGAATTTACGAGATTCAGTTGTCTAATTCAGCTAGAGAAAGAGTAAGTTTTAATTATGTTTGGTCACCAGGACTTGGATATGTATTTGCTTACTTAATACATCAGCCTGAATAAGCATCGTTTCTGAAACCTAATGTAGATGACGATAGCAGGTTTGTGTCTTTATCAGTTTAGAATACGTCAAATGACGTGAAAAAAAAAGAAAAGCATTCTTGAGTTAACAAATAATCTTAACACTTAAGGGGTATTTATAAAAAAATGGATTAGTTACAGCTGTCAAGATTATTTACATTATTATTATTATTATTATGAAAATGAGCATAAAAATCCTAAGACTTTCAGACATGTGCAGACAATGACTTGAAGAACCTGGCTTAGGGTTAATTAAAGCTCCATGTGTTTGCAAAGTTAGGAAGCTCACCTTAGCAAGCCCCAACTGTGGAAAATTTTCTCTGGTTCAAGCTGTGTACCAGAGAAATGTATTTATTTTTCCCGTATTTGCCCAGTTTAAAAAGCATATTGACTCTTCTGCTACATCAGATCAAATCATGTAGCAGAGGGCCCAAAGAACAGACAACACTCTCAGACAACTTAACTGTTGAAAACTCAGTTGAATAAATTATCTTATTTCATTTCTCCTAAAGCAGTGATGCATCTGTTGCTGCTGTTGACAAATCTTCTCCTTTGGGAGCATGTGTCCTCCAAAAGCAATCTCCTTCTGTCCACTGAAGACCTGTATCATGTGGTTGAACAGGCTCATACCAACTATGGCATGTCTGCAGATATATACCATGAGTTTGTAAGTTCCTCAGTTGTTTCTTGCTTTTTCTCTAGTGAAGCTTTCAGAAAATGCCACTAGTTAAACCAGAAATCACCATTAACTGACTGTGACATGATAAAAATCTATAGGTAATAGAAAGAAGGAGAGGCTAAAATGTGAATCAGAGAACCTGGGAGGTTTTTATAAAATTTCAAATGTTTATAAGAATGAAATGTTTTCAATTAATAGACTTTAAAAATAACAGCATAATTTGAACTTCCACTTTTGATATTCGATCCCAAAAGAATCATAGGAAGGAACTGTGATTTCTCGTTCTTTTGTGGAAAGGTCCAGCCTCTGTGGAAATTCTTCACTCACTCCTCTGAAGCTATTTACTGTAGGAGAACTACACTGTAGTGAATTGTATGCACAGAATAAAAGTAAAACAATCTGAAACATGTAAATGGGGGAGGTGATATCCAGCTGCTCAGAAACTCGCAAATGCCAAGAAATATTGTTTGGCATTTCTAGTGGGGAACATCTCATTCCCAAAGAGAGCTTGTATAGAAGGGAAATCTGTCCTCCCTTCCTAATGGAGACACGTGATCTCTGGGTTCTCTCAAGGAGGAAAATACAAGATAAGAAATCAGGAGAATTTGTCTTTAGAGTTGTAAAGAGTACACATTCCCATTGTGTTTTTCACTCATTAGTATTTCTTTCATCCTTTGTTCTCTTACAATCTTTCTGCATGGCATTCGCAGAAACCCATTAGCCTTCTACCAATGTTCTCATTACTAATATTAAATAACTTGTATTAAAAAAGTACCCGAGGAAATACAATCCACAACTGATTAGTATATGAACCTTAAATAATATTTTGTACATTTTCCTTCACTCCTTGCTAAGTATATCCATAAACCAAGCCCAGATTGTTTTTATATTTTGACTCTATCAACACTACATTCTACTGTCACCATGAATATGGTGTTACACAAACAAAAACATGGCAGAATTTTAGAGAAAAGATAAATTTATAATTACTAACTAAAGGAAATACATTCATTTGGGTCAATGGAAAAACAAGACATAAATTTGTAAAAATAATCATTATTCTATAACACTCAACTCAAATCCTAGGGAAAGCTATACTTAAAAAGGTAAGTTTTTGATTTGGAGGTTGTGTGGTTTTTAGTGCTTGCATTCCAAACCATAACATTTTAAAGGACAAAAAATAAGAGAATATTAAAGAAGGGTTAGAGGTTGGGAGTTCAGTAAGCTAGATTGGATATCTAAAGGGAAGAAATAATGAACAAATGAATTTTCATTATTCCTGTGTTTTAATTTTTATGAAGCTCTTGTGTTTTTTTTTTAAATAAGCTTTATCAAGCACATTGATGCTATGGTCATATATGTTTTCATTCAATTCTGAAGTCCAATATATTGAATGGTATCATTTCTTCCAGAATGTAAAGTTTGCCAAAGCAAGTTGGCTAAAGGACAGGGTGCCCAGCATGTGCCACACTGCTTCCATCTGGACTCCAGAGAGCATTAAGCAGCTTCATGAAACAAAAGTAGGTTTCCTTCTTGTTTTTCCCTGAAACAAGTAAAGCTGTACACAGCCTAGTTGTTCTGTATGTGATTACAGAAGCCAAACAGGGGTGATCTCTGGTCTATAGAATGCAGGAAGAAGCAACAGTCAGCAAATCATCAACCACATCTCACAGAAGATAACTTACACACTAGGCCAGTGCCAACTTACATTACAGCAGATTCAGAAGTTCTAAGGACAATTTTTAGCATCACCATGGTGCGATTTTTCTTATTACTCTCTGGGAAGCTGCTTTGATATGAATTGGACACTTATACTTGAATATACATTTACAAACATGGGCAAGAAATGCATATACAGCAGTTATATAGTATTATACTAAAGGCTCCTCCTCTAGTAGCATGCAACCTAACTAACCATTGTGTCATTTAGTTTCTGTTTTTAAGACTTTCTTTGTCCCACTTCAGTTTCTACATTATGGGCTGCCTTCCCCGTCTGTTCTGCCTTCTCTTATATCATAAGTGAAAATCGGCTATGTAAGAAGCTCCTCTTCATACTCTGTCTTGTTTCTCAGAATGACCCCTGTTTGATGAGGTCTGTACAAGACCATAGTTCCGTGTCTTTCCTCTGACTCTCTATGTCAAGCAGAGTTTGATTTGATTTACCATAAAAATTTAGGTGAATGCATATAATGAGGAGTCATGTAGATGTAAAGAAATATGGTTTTGAAAGCTGTATTTCCAGTGATGTGTCATTGTTTTAACACTCTACCATAATATGTAAGTCCAAAGTGAATACATGAGAGGTCAATTGGATTCATTGGTATGGAAATTATGTGGACCACTTGTCCCTGACAGTGTTGGTATCTATGTTATGTAAAACCAGGTCCTGAAGACATTTACTGAGTCCCAGTAATCCTAGCATTCTTACAGAGAGGGTTAGGAATAAAAAGGAATATTTGTCTTAGGGTTTCTATTAATGAAGGAACACCATGGCCAGGGAAACTCTTATGAAGGAAAACATTTAATTATAGTAACTCGCTTACAGTTCAGAGGTCTAGTCCATTATAGTCATGGTGGGAAGCAAGGCAACATGCAGGTAGACATGGTACTGGAGCTGAGAGTTCTTGCATATTGATCCTAAGGCTAAAGAAAGTGTGGCTTGAGCATGAATGACACCTCAAAGCCCACCTTCATAGTGACACACTTCCTCTAACAACACCACACCTACTCCAACAAAGCATACCTCTTAATAGTGCTACTTACTCCCTTTGGGGGCTATTTTCTTTCAAGCTACCACAAGGACAGATGGTTGAATGTAGAGTGAAAGCAAAATAAAATTACTTTGACCTGTCAGCAGAAAAAAATTGTTCATATCTGACTAGTTTTATTGAGCAAACTATAGTACATTGGCTAAAATTTTACATTTCTTCGATGTGTAAATAGTATGAACATATGTATTAATAACAAACATATGTAGTTTACCATCTTTTATAAAATCAGCAAATATCTACCTTCTTGAATCTCACTTAGTTTAATGTGATGTTCAATCATTCTTCCTTAGACAGAAGACGTTCTGAAAGCAGTCATTATTATTTTGCGTGCCTGGGATTATCCTCTTATACACCTGGTGCTTGCCACGACCATTCTCCCAACAGCGTCTGCATCTAATAATATGCTGCAAAGAATCAATGATGTGAAGAATGGAATTATAGGACTTTTGGAGGGACTTGAGATCATACTCAGCAGGGTAAGCTGCCTCTTCACATTTCATTGTTCGTTTCATACATGAAAGTGGTGTTTTGTACAATGAAAAAAGAATTTTTAAATAATTCATTTGCAAGAGTGAAATTTTTGTTTCACATTTGTTGGCAATTTAGTAAGTAAGGGATCACTTGCAAATCTAACACCTGAGGTGCTTACTGAGAACTGAATAATCAAGTGGTTTTAACAAAAAAACACTGTTCTTCATAATAATTTGGAAAGTGGCTTTTTTGGGTGAGGTGGACAGCCCTGCTTAATGTAGAAGATCTTATGATAGCAATTTCCTATTTCTCCTGTATCATAAAACTCTAAATAAAATATGTTCATCATATCTAAGGATTCAGAAAAATGCATAGAACAAAGAATATTTAAAGTTAGAAGATGAGGACACTCTACTAGAACCATGAGTTATGAAAGGCACATTACAGCAAGTACTAAGAATGTGCAAAATTCCTTGAATTGAAAGAAATTACACTAACCCCTCCATTTTCCTGTGGTTCAAATCTATGTATTCAGTCAAGTACAACTTTTTGGCTCTCCTTCTGTCTACTTGTATATTGATATATTTCATCTGGGATCAATGGCACACACAAAATACATAAATTCATCAGACTTCTAGGTTTTGATGACTAATTCCTTTATGGTATTGGCCCAAGTATCCGAAAATCCATGATTTATAACTAGTTTTTCACTCCTCTATGTTCTACTGAACAATTCAAAATTTTACAAGGAATATCCGCTGGCCTGAGGATATGTCTCATTTCTGTAAATATCATTCTTGTATATATTAGGATCTGATTTAATCTCATTATTCTTGTCAAGAGGGGGTGTAGTATCCTCTCCACATAAGGGCATCATTAGAGCGGAAGACATATGGAAATCTAAGGTGGATTCTGGGTAGAATAGAAAGAAGTAAACTCAAAACACAAGTTATGAGTCACAGGAGGATATTTACTGAAGACTGACTTCTGACCAGAAAATGCATGCACATATATATTCACACACATTCACATTCATACACACATATACACATTAAATGAAAGGAAAAACAAATGCTAATAATGTCAATGATATCTATCTATTTTATGCACAGACCCAGCCTGGAGTTATAGTTGACTATCCTCATTGTTCAGGACAGAGAGAATTTCAGTCATCAGATGAAGACACTCGCCTTTTTGCTATGTATAACCTTTGCCGCTGCCTGAAAAGGGACACACAAAAGGTTGAAAGTTACCTCAAGATCGTGAAGGACCGAGTCATCTTTAAGGATAACTATTAATCAGAGAAGCTTCCTCCTGCAGCAGATGACTAAAAAATACAGAGTTCTACAGATAGACATTATGCACAGACTGGGATATCTTGGAGCAATCAGCCCTAAATGGGATGTTTCCATCAAATCCCTCCCCTTAGAGCTCAGGGAATCCTACATCAGAGAAAGCAAAAACAGTTTAAGAGACAGAGGGGATAAAGAACACCAAGAAAACAAGGCTCTCTTTATCAGCGTAAGCAAAGCTCATATGAACTTACAGAGACTGAGGTATCATGCACAAGGCCTGCACAGGTCTTTACCAAATCCTCTGCATTTATATTACAGCTTCCAGTTTAGTGTTTTTTATGGGATTCCTGGATATGGGAATAAGTGGGTCTCTGATTCTTTTGCCTTATCTTGGTCTCTTTTCCTTTCATTGGTCTTTCTTGTCCAACTTCACTCAATGTGATAGTTTTGGTTTTGTCTTAACATACTTTATTTTGTTATATTAATAAACTGAAAGAATAAATAAATGAAGCCTGAGACTACAATAAAGGTTAATAACTGAACTGTCACTTACCTTCTGGAAGAGGGAAAATCAGTTTTCTCCAATGGAGTGACACTGGATATATCAATCATTTCAGAGCAGGTCTTTGTTCAGGAGTAGTTGACTAACATATAATTGACTCCACAGATTTTTTTAATGTGTGCTTTTATTTAGTTACATTTTGGTTTATTTAGTTACATTTTGGTGCTTTTTTTTCCTTAGGTGTTGATTTTTTTTGTTTCTTGGTTTGAGGGGACTTTGTTGTATTAGGTTTTTGTTTGTTTTTCGAGAAATAAATTAAAGTTGAGTAGGGAGTGGGAGAGGATCTAGAAGTACTTTCAGGAGGGGAAGAATATATTTAAATTTAAAAACTGTTTTTAAGCAAAAAAATAATAGGATAAAAGTGTGAAAAAAAGAGTAACTCTCAAATGCACATCCCTGTGACATTCTGCTGAAATGGCCCTTGGTGAACCAGACCTTCAATTCTTTCCAAAATTTTTATTTTTGGATGCATGCATTGTAATAATAAATTTCTTATAAAGTGTTGCTTAAAGTTTTCCTGCCTGGCCCACAGTCAGGACAAATCTCTCTCACCCGCCAGTCCCAAGCCGCTCAAACCCGATCAAGTAAACACAGAGACTTATATTGGTTACAAACTGTATGGCCGTGGCAGGCTTCTTGCTAACTGTTCTTACAGCTTAAATTAATCCATTTCTATTAATCTATACCTTGCCACGTGGCTTGTGGCTTACCGGTACTTTACATCTTCCTTATCCTGATGGCGGCTGGCAGTGTCCCCTCCTCAGCCTTCCACTTCCCCGCTCTATTCTCCTCCTTGTCCCGCCTACACTTCCTGCCTGGCCACTGACCAATCAGTGATTTATTCATTGACCAATCAGCAACACATTTGACATATAGACCATCCCACATCACTTCCCCTTTTCTTTTCTTAAAAAGGAAGGTTTTAACCTTTACACATCTCCAAAGTCAGCTTGGTATATTTGGGAATTTGGGCGTAGTTTCTCTTACTACTTCCTGCTGGAGGGGGGCGCTGTATCTTCTGGGGAAACAAAGAAAATTTTAGGATCATGGAGTAGTCCGTGAGGCTGTATCGTCTGGGCCAGTTGCCTTGAAACGGTTCTGGATGTTGGATCATCTGGGCCATGGTGTCATCGGAGACCTTTCAGGTGGTCTTGGCTGGTCAAACCTGATGTGTCTTAATCTGGAACAAATCCATAGCCTCTTGCTTTCTGTGGAAACAAAAGAGACTCTTTTCCAAAGCAACATATCCTTACATCCAAATTTTGAAGTCAAAGTATCTTTAAAATATACATACTGGTTTAACTCAGCTTCCTTTACAATCAAATATCTCTCTGTAGTTAAGAATCCCAAAGACAACACAATCCAGACTCTCTGTGTAATAGTCATCTCTACGTGGCTTATTTTTTATATTAATTTTACTGTCTCTTTAAAGACTTTATTTTTTAAAACCATGTATTTGTTTCTATACTGTATATATCACCTTTTTTTGTCTCTTTCAAGCCTACGTATATTTTACACACATTTTAAACTATTACATCTGAATCTGTCTTATTGTGAATCTATTGCTTTAAGATGCAGGAGCTGTGGCTGCTGGCTCCGCCCACCTCAGCTTCCCAACATGGCGGCTACTGTAGTTTTCCGCCAGCTCTGGGAGCTATCGTGGGTCTATGCTTTTATCCAAGCAGCATGTAGCCCAGAAACCTCTTTTGTTTTGTACTAGCAAAGGCTAAATCCACAATGTAGCTTAATGTGCCACTTGCAGAGGCCTCATTCCCGCCATACCGCAGGTCGAGCGCGCACGCCAGCAACCCGCCAGTAGCTCAAACCGGCAGCTGCTGCTCATTTGAGAGAGACAATTAGGAACTGTTTTTAGCTCCGTTTTAGAATCCTTTTTCTCAGTTTTTAGGTGGAAACTCTTGCCACCACGTTGGACGCCATTTGTTGCTTAAAGTTTTCCTGCCTGGCCCACAGTCAGGACAAATCTCTCTCACCCGCCAGTCCCAAGCCGCTCAAACCCGATCAAGTAAACACAGAGACTTATATTGGTTACAAACTGTATGGCCGTGGCAGGCTTCTTGCTAACTGTTCTTACAGCTTAAATTAATCCATTTCTATTAATCTATACCTTGCCACGTGGCTTGTGGCTTACCGGTACTTTACATCTTCCTTATCCTGATGGCGGCTGGCAGTGTCCCCTCCTCAGCCTTCCACTTCCCCGCTCTATTCTCCTCCTTGTCCCGCCTACACTTCCTGCCTGGCCACTGACCAATCAGTGATTTATTCATTGACCAATCAGCAACACATTTGACATATAGACCATCCCACATCATAAAGTAAAAGTTATTCTTTAGAAATGCTCAATATGAAGTGAAAATTGGTTAGTTTCCTGTGCCCATTTAATATACAATCAATCTTTAGTTTTGTGATGTTCTTGGAAAAATTTTACAAGTATGCTGTTTGCAGAGCCAATAAAACAACTGACAACTTACTTTATAATCAAAGTAAATAAAAAAGACCAAATTAATTAAAACTGAAGAAAGGAATTGCTATTATTAAGTAGATCCTTTGAATGGACATCTGGGATAGTTTACAAAGACAAGCCATTCAGTGAGCAAATTTTCATTGTAATAAGACAATACAAGTTGTATGCTATTGCATTTTCTAGGAGTACCACCAATTTTATATGTTCCGAGATGTATTAGAAAAGAAGCAGGGAATGGCTCTATTTTCCTCCAGCACCCATTTCCAACCATGATCCTTCTTAGGGCCATCTTAGGAAGATCACACATGTCTGGATTACTGTGGTTCTGATAACATTTCATCTTACATGCATGGTATTTAACATCCTGCCTCGATCCTCCAGTTGTTAAGGCTGCACAGCAGTGAAATATGAAAGTATATGTTCTTCCAATATCTCTGCCTTTTCATTCTTCTGCACATTGATTCCTGTGATTTTATCAAAATTCAGAAGGGAGAACCAATGTAAAATTTTGATATGTTAAATTTGCTAACTGAAGAGCCTTACTGACTAGGGTTCGAGTCAAATCCCTCTGCGGATCAGGTACTTTTCTCTGGGCACACAGTGGTGTCCCAAGAACACCAGTGGGGAAGCATCAAAGGATAGTGTTTTTTGTTAAGAGTTGTCCCCTGGCTAGGTCCTGTTGTCCGCAGGGGAGCTCTGCTACTCATGTCAGCCTGTAGCCTCTGTGCATGGCCCTCTCACCCTGAGTGCACACCGCTGGAGAAGTAGCTCAAAGAATTGTCTCCACTAACTGACACATTGTCACAGGCACAGGGCTGACTCCAGCAAGGGAACAGTGACAACACTGGATCCCTGTGGATCCGTAGTCCCTACCAACTCTCTTTCCTGGCTGTTTTTATACATCTAGAGTATATCAGACATTTACTTTTTTACTTTCCTTAGCAGACACTCATGAAAAAAAATTTGAACCATGTTTCCCTACTTTTAACCCCAAGAATAATCTGGGAGTTATAGACACTCCCTACTAATCCACTGTGTGATAACACCATGCTCTAAAATAAACAAACATTCTACTATTCCCTCTAAAGAGAAATGATTGGCTGAGAAATCTTGTTTAGGGCTTATTCATTTTTCTTTCCTATAGCACCTCCATCCCACCCACCCCATGCCCCCAGTGCTGGGGCATTACCCAAGTCAATCATTAATTAAGAAAAATACACAACAGTCTAGCTCACAGGGCAATCTGATTGGGACATTTTTCTCATATGATGTTCCCTCTTCCACTATACATCTAGACCATGTCATGTTGACATAAAACACTAAAACACACTTTTGTAAATAAAACATTTACGTATCTACAGAATAAAATCTAACACTTACAATGGCAATTTCTGACTTCATCCATTTATTTTTGAATTACATTTTTCATAACATCTGAATAATCCCACATTGTGTAAAGATAGACCACTTTGGTTGTCAATTATTCAGCTGATAAATATTTTGGCATTTCCAGTTTGGGCTACTAAAAATAGAGGAGCAGTGAATGTGTCTAAAGATGTATATGAATCACAAGTTGTAGAATTCTTTGGGCTTATGCCCATAGTTGTAGAGATGAATTTGTAGTAGGTCTATTTTGAAACTTTGGGGGATCCTCCACACTGATGTCCACAATGGACTTACTGCTTTACACTCCCTCTGGTAATCCCTCTCCCTACATTTTCACCAGCATGTGCTGTAATTTATTTTATTTATTGTACCTTTTTAAAGTGTAGAATGGTGAAATAATATAGTTTCAATTCACATATTACTGATGGTAAAGATGTTGAATATTTCTCAACCATTTGTGGTTCATTTTTGAGATATTGTTATGCAGTTCTATGTCCCATTTTTCAGTGTTTTTTTTTGTTTGTGTGCTTGTTTTTTAATACTTTGTATATTCTGTGTACTTGTCCTCAGTCA